AGTAATTTCTGTTGACTCATCTTCAGGTTTGCTGGCTGTCCTCTGTCGTCTTCATTTTACCATTGAGTTCTTCTGGTCATTTATTTCAGATATTGTATAAATGTTTTTAGTTTTTGAAATTTCCATTTGTTTCTCCTTTATAGTTTCTGTTAAAATTTCCTTTCTTTTCATTTATTTCAAGAGTATTTACTTTGACCTCATGCAGCATGTTGTAGTTGTTGCTTGAAAGCCTTCCTCTGCTGTTTCCGGCATTGGTGTCGTCTTGGTGGTGGCATCTGTCTGTTTTTCTTTCTATTAAACGCGGGCCACGTTTTCAGATTCCGATAACTCCGGGTTGTGTCCTAGTCACCGTGGATGCTGCATTGTGTAGACACTGGCTTTTCTTACAGTTCTTCTCAGCATGCATTCACCCTGATGAGGTACAGACCATAAGTTCAGTCTCACGCTGGGTGCTGGTCAGAGCCCACCTCACCACTCAGAGCCTCTGCTTGCCTGCGTAGGTTGTCGCACACGCGTGTGTTTGGGGTTACTGGAGACTCGAGCAGGTTCATACACAGACTTAGGGTTGCCTTTTCCTAGCTCTTCCCTCCAGGGTTGTCCCGCACCGTCCGGCTAGCCTGGGCTTCTTTTTGTTGCTCTTCTAGCCAGAGAGAGGGTGGGGTTTCCTCTGGATTTGTGGGGTCCACATTCTGTTGCTCCCGTATGTGTGGCCCAGGCTTGGGCAAAGTCCGAAGAGGGAAGAATGAGAGACGCTCCCTGTGCGTCACTTCTCCAGGCTCTGACTCCCAGTGCTGCTTGTCTGCCTCGCTTTACCTCTCAGCGTCCTCGGGTGCTTGTTTTGTTTTTAGTGTATGGTTGTCCTCAGTGGGAACAATGGCCTCTGAGGGCCTCACACTCCCATGGCAAAACTGGAGCCCCTGCTGAGGTGCCCTTGCAGTGCCTTTTAGTTGATGCATGTCTGTGTACACCTTCCTTTCTCTCGGTGGTTTCCTGCTCTTTGCCTCTCTTTGCCTGCGCTTATCTGTGGAAGGCGTCCAGTGTCCCCTACGCTGTGTCCGTGGTCATGTGGCTGGAGGCGTCCTGTGGCCGTGCTCAGCGTGCTATCTCCCATTTCCTGGAATCAGCCTCTGTCTAGATCCGACATGGGTTCAGTTTTTCCACCGGGATGCTTTGCCGTGGCGTTGCAGCTTCCATCAGGAGGCATGTGCTCTGCTCACCCCTCTGTCTGTGTCTCTTGGTGGTATTAGCAGCCGCTAGTTGTCACTGCCTCAATTTACTGCATCGTTAAGAATTGTAAAATGGCTGTATTCTAATTCTACCATTTCTTTTTCATTTTTTGCTAGGAGTGTTTCTGTAAAGAGGGACTGTGTCCCCTGTGCTTTTCCAGAGACACCGATTGTCCAAGAAAGGCAGAATAATGCCTTGCTTCGTTCCCCTTATTTGCCAGTTTTCCAAACAATGTCCTGATTCAAAATAACACCCTGATTTCAAGATGACCCATGCCTGGAGGCTCTGAGGCTCGTTACGGACTCATGGATATAAACTGTTTTGTTGTTCTGATCCATTCTAGACCATAATTCTGTGTCCTAGACGGAGTTTATAATATGTGAAGTTATAGTTCTCCATACAGGTAACTAGTTCAGCTATCTGGATGGATCTAACCAGGATGCCTTCCTTCTCCTTCATGAATTCCACAGACAGTTCACCTGTGCCTTTGTGGAGTGAGATGACCCCGTGCCAGAGGGCGGTTTTCTGAGCCCAGTCTTTCAGCAGAAGCCCTGGGACTGGGTGTTAACTCACCCGCAGTCTGTTCCAGGACAGCTTTGCACGGGCCCTGTATTGTAAACTGTGCGTGGAGGTGGTTTGATTCGTGGGTGTGGAGGAACAATAGCATTATTTGCCGCCATTCAGTGCCCTGCTCTTTTCTACAGCCGTTCATTGTTTTCTTCTGAAAGTTTTCGTGGAAAAGCTCTTATCATTTTGATAACTTGGTTTTCAAAGAAGTGTTGCCTTTCGTCTGTTTGGGATACCCATCCGTGTAACCTGTTGTAGATGTGTGGAGACCCTGGGCTTCTCCTGATGCATCATTTTGTGTTTCTGAAGCATGCTCTTACTGGGCGTCATCACCCCCGTGCACAGTCAGGGTGTTGGGCACACAAGCAGGGCTCCCCAACATGGACTAGCGCTGGTGTGTCAGGGTTCAGGGCTCACAGTCCAGTGGGAGGGGATGTGGAGAGCAGCCTGTGACCACAGAGGAAAAGGAGGTTCACTAAGCCATTGGGGAGTCCAGCGGGAAGGGGTGGCCTTCTGGGGACAGCCTGGAGCCCGTCTACGGTCCGGGGGCAGCCTGGAGCCCGCCTGCGGTCCGGGGGGCAGCCTGGAGCCCGCCTGCAGGGGAGGCCCAGGGACAGCCTGGAGCCCGCCTGCGGTCCAGGGGCAGCCTGGAGCCCACCTGCGGGGGAGGCCCGGGGTGTGGGGAGTGGGTGGAGGCACTTCCAGCAGAGGGGCAGCAGCAGAGCCCCCGCGTGCAGTGCTTGCTCCGTGCGGTGTCCGGCGGGCTGGGGACGCCATCTGAGAAACCCTGGTGCCCTTGGTTCTTCTCCACGTGGCTCACCGGCCGTCCTCTCGCATCAGGGCTGTATCTCACTGTGCGTCTGGTGTTCCGGGACCCTGATGTGGCGGCTACGCCAGCATAGCTGCAGTTTCTCCACCACCTCACTCCTGCCAGTGACAGCCCAGGAAATGCTGTAAAATCTAGTTATCCGTGAGGTCATTGGAATTCGAGGACACATCTTTTCTCGTAGTGGCGTTTGCCTGCAGAGCTGTGTGCGTCGCAGCCCCCTTTCCTCCCCCATCATGCCGGGAGCAGGGGTCCCTTCTGTCTGCAGAGACCTGGCCTTTGTTGGCTGGGGCTTTGCTTAGGAGCACGTCCGTGTAACGTACGCTTGCTTTCGAGAGAAACCAAGCTGTTCCGGTTTAAATTAGCGGGACCCTTTGTCAAGAACTGCATGAAAATATCTGCGTAAGGGCTTCTGACCCAACTTTCCGTGTGGAGGGGCGGCCGCACGCGGGGATAAAGACCTGCCGATGAAGCTCGGTGGTGATTTTACGTGTCATAACTCTTCGTCATCCTGCTTTTCTGTCCCGTGCCTGGCATCTTGCCAGCCTGGGGAGACTGAGAGTGTGTGTCGTTGATGCAGCTCACGTTCAGTCCAGTACAAAGCGGGCCTTGGCGGGTCGCCCTGTGGGCGCTGTTGACTTTAAATGAATGTCATGGAGAAAGGAGTAATTTTCTTCAGTTGTTTATTTAAACTTAGTGACTTGTTAAAATTTAGTTTCAAATAGTATTAATTAGCAAGATCCTTGGGTTTACCAATTAAGATATATTGAATATAGGGTCCCCCCCCATAGAGGTATGGCTTAATAAGTTAGCTCTGCTAGTATGTAGAAGGAATTCAACTATTAAAGAATAAGAAAGGCACAAAATAAACCTAAACACGTCCAAGTTATCACTGAATGTTGTACTGCTGCCACTGTCTTTCTCTGGGTGGTACGGGAGTCGAGGCAGTCTAGTGAGAAATGTCACGGGCCTGAAGGGTTTTGAGGCCAGATGCAGTGACTCACCTGTAGTCCCAGCACTTTGGGAGGCTGAGGTGGGAGATTGCTCGAGCCCGGGAGTTGAAGGCTGCCGTGAGCCATGATCACACCACTGTACTCCAGCCTGGGCAACAGAGTGAGACCCTGTCTCAAATGAAATTAAATTAAATAAAATTAAAATTAAATAAAATATAAGTGTAATAAATATGTTGTCTTAGGACGGGCAGCTTAGTGTTTGGATTCTGAGACCCAGCAGGAATGGTGAAGGGATGGGGGATGAGAGGAAGTCAAAGGGCATGAAAGCGTCAGCCTGGCCCAGGTCTGAGGATGCTGTAAGTTACTAGTTCTGCCGGTGCGTTCGAGGTGCTGTGACCAAGGCCAGGAGCTCTGGCGTAGAAGTAAAAGCCAGCGTCGGTTCCTGTGCCCAGCCCTGCGCCACTATGCCCACGGTATCCATCACCTTGGGTCCCGGTGCCCTGTGAGGAGAGAGCTGATGTCGCCTCCCGCTCGCAGGGGGTCGTGGAGGCTCCGGAGCTTGGTGACTCCGCCGCTGATCACCCCATGGTGTCCTAGGGCGTGTGGACACAGTGAGGCCTCTTCTTTGCCAGGGAGGCGTGGCGGATCTCAAACCCACCCACTTTCCCCGCCCGGACACCACAACAAAACCAGAGTTGTGCATCAAGACAGCCTGGAAACAGACCACCAGAATCACTCAGGCCACTGGCACCAAGGGTTGTCTGTTTTCAGAACTTCTGTTGTTTTGAGCACAGCCCAAAGGGACAGCTGGCCCCTGGGGAACCATGTTCGGCCGGCCGTTAGGGAGAACTGCACCGCCTGGGCCTGAAGGCAGTGGGCTGTCTGGCCTCCTGAGTGCCCGGGTAGCCCATGCCCATGTCCATGAGGGAGGATCCCGCTCGATGCATCCATGCAAAGGCTGCTGCACACTCAGGCATGGCCGCCCTTATCTCCTGCTGCCGCTGCCACCTGCAGCACAGACGGGGCCTGTCCGCGGGGCCTGGTCAGAGCCGTTTCTGTCTCCCCAGCCTGGGCCCATCTTCCCTTGCTGGCTGTCCACCTGCTCAGCTGTGCCTGGACCATGGCCACCGGGCTCTTGGGAGTGGGCCGTGCCCGCGGCTCCGCCCGGCTCACAGCGAGTGTTGTGTTGTCGTGGCACCTCCAGGCTCCCAAGCCCAGCACAGGCAGCACCAGCCCCTTCTCTCCCCACCTTTCCCCTCCTCCAAGGAAGTCCGTCCTGCTGGGCCCTCGGTGGCTGTCAGGGCACCACCACCGCAGCACCGGACAGAGAGCCCTGTGAGGGGCCTGCTCCTTGGAAGCGCTGTGCGTCCTGTGTTCCAGGAGAGCGGGGTCCATCAGTGTCTCACGCTGTGCGTCCTGTGTTCCAGGAGAGCGGGGTCCATCAGTGCCTCACCCCTCATCCTGCTCAAGTGACGTGTGGCTCCCCGGCTGCGTCGCGTGTGTCCCGCCCAGGGTTTCCTGCCGGGTGAGGCGGTTCGTGTCCTGGCCTGCGGCTGTCGGGACTCCCGTGAGTGGCGAGGTGTGCGGTGCGGAGCTGTGGCTGGACTGGCAGTGGGAAGTAGATGGGGACCTGCAAGGAGCAGGGGCCATGTCGGTACTGAGGCCGCTCTCGGAATTCTCTCCCCGCGTGTCCTCTTGGAGCCTCTTGGTGGAAGCCGCCAGGTCACACAGGAGGCCGCACTGACAAGGATATTAAGGATGTTTGTGGCCCTGCTCTTTAGGTGTGAAAGTTTGGGACAGATTCAGCACGCCGCAGCAGTGATTACAGGAGTCAGAATCCTTGCTGGGGACCTCAGAGACATGTCGGGGATCTGGGAGCCTTGGTGGTGCGGGCGGGGCAGGGGACCAGTGGCCGTGACGCCAGGCTCAGTTCCCGGCTCTGCCACTTAGTGGAAGTGACCTTGCACGAGTTGCTGCTGTGTGTCGGCGTCCTCCCAGGCTGTGAACAGGCGGCAGAGTGCCTGCCTCCTATACACATGCACACACATGCATACACAGGCACACGTGTACGCACACATGCCCAGGCACACACGTGCTGGTCCGTGCTCCCGCACACACATGCACACGTGTGCGCCCTTGCTAGGGCTGTGCCTGGGTGTTGCTAATGGCAGACTTCCTGGTGAGATTGTGACCAGTTGATCTGGAGGCTCCCAGATGCTCTGCGGTAAACGTGTAGCTTCTTTTAACTGGAAAAAAGGCCTTCAGATGATTGAAGAGGGCTCTGAGAAATCTGGACTCTTCTGTATGGAATTTATAGTAACGGGAAATTGAAAAGTACTGGAAATGTAAATAACTAGAAGCACAAAGGCGAGGTGACTCCTAGAATCTGTCCAGAAGAACCCATGGTCGCAGACATGGGGCCCCGTCTCTGCCAGACCCTGGTGGCTCCCAGGCCGTGGGACAGGTGGAGGAGGCGGTGCCCTGTGTGGTGTGTGGCTCTGCGGGCGGCTCCGACCACCCTGACAGTGTGATTCTCTCCCTCCAGGTCGTGCACACACACAAGCCGCACTTCATGGCCTTGCACTGTCAGGAGTTTGGAGGGAAGAACTACGAGGCCTCCATGTCCCACGTGGACAAGTTCGTCAAGTAAGTCTCGGGGCAGGTGCTGGTGTGTGTCCACTTCTCCGGGGGTGGGGGGTGCTGGCGGGGGTCTTTTGATGGTACTATGATCCCCAGCCTCACCATTCAGGACTCACCTGGGGGTCATCTTGGCTGAGTCTCAGTTTTCCAAAAAGAGAAGGAGTGGCCCAGACATGTGACCGCGAGCCTCCTTGGGGCGGCGACGGAAGGCCACGGGGTGACAGCCCGCTGCCTCCACACGGCGAGGGTCTGTGCTCTCGGGCCAGGGGACGTGAGCCCCAGGTACCGAACGGAGCCGTCACCGTGTGTGTGTGCCTGTGGCCGGGCCTGCGGTGGCCGGGATTCACATCCCACTGTGAGTCTGTCTCAGGGAGGTCGGCTGGGAGCGTCCATCTTTCTTGGAGGCAAAATCTCCGTCATTTAGGAGGAAGGTGCCCCACATGTGGTCCCAAAGTGCACGCCCTGAAACTTCCGACAGGGCCGGCCCAACTGGGTCCTGTCAGGGAAGAGGGGGCGCCCGGACCTGGGGCATCCAGGAGTGGACAGGAGTAGGTAGGGGCAGGCAGGCTTGTGTTCAGACATGGGGCCTCCTCTTGGCTGTTGCTAATAGTGGCTGCTGTATTTTCCTGAGGCCGCAGCCATGCAGCCCGTCCTCCGTGTCCCCTACAGTGTGGCCTTGGCACATTCCCGTGTTGGGGGGCTCATCTCCACCTCTAGACCCTGGGCAAGCCCTGGCTTCTTCGCAGCATGAGAGCTTCTGGGACCAGCCCCCAACATCGCAAAGCTTCACTGCTGCTACACTCTGTGGGTCGACATAGCCACGTGGAGTCGGGATCTGTGGGCAGAGCTGTTGAGCCCTCCCGGCCTGGTGCCAGTGTGAGTGTGAGCGAGGCTTCAGGCAATCCCAGCCGCTGCGTCCTCGCTGTCCAGGTGCCGGCTGTCGTGCAGTGACATGAGCCCTCTGTCTTGAACGCCCAGCACAGGGTCCTTGAGCAGCACAAAGTGATGGTTTCAGCTGCTAAAAAAAAAAACTGCCACAACTTCCCAAAATAATCTATAATTTAAGGCAGTTTTGTTTTGTTTTGTTTTGTTTTTTTGATACGGAGTCTCGTTCTGTCGCCCAGTCTGGAGTGCAGTGGCGTGATCTCGGCTCACTACAAGCTCTGCCTCACGGGTTCACACCATTCTCCTGCCTTAGCTGGGACTACAGCTGCCCGCCACCACACACGGCTAATTTTTTTGTTTTTTTGTTTTTGATAGAGATGGAGTTTCACCATGTTAGCCAGGATGGCCTCGATCTCCTGACCTTGTGATCTGCCTGCCTCAGCCTCCCAAAGTACTGGGATTACAGGCGTGAGCCACCATGCCTGGCCAGTTTAAGGCAGTTTTAATCAAAATCTTAGTGGCATTTTTCCTAACACTCAACACACTAATACTAAAATTGCCATATAAGAGCAAAGGGTCAAGAATAGCTAAAAGAATCCTGAAAGAAAACAAAGTGGATTCTCACCCAGCTTGACCCCCAGGGATCATTCCGAAGAAGCGATGGGGCAGGTGGCATGGCACAGACCCGGAAAGGAGAGCAGGTCAAGGCAGGTGCGCAGCCCAGAGAGCAGAGAGTGGAGTCGAGGCCCTGCCCAGTCCCTCACGGCTGCACCTGGAGGAGAACAGGTGGGGACATGGGCAGGGGCACGGGATCGTTGGTGTCCTGTGTTGGGAAAAATGAAATTGGATCCCTGCTTTATGTCATAAGCAGCCTCTTCTCACTCACCCTACGTAAGACGAATTTCAGTTGTATTAATTACATAAATGTAAAAGGCAACATTAAACATTTCGTCTAAAATATAGGAGAAAATCTTTATAGTTTTGGGATGAGAGATTTCTTTTAAAATGTACAGGAAGTACAGCCTACAGAATAGAAGGTTGAAAAATGTGGCCGTGTTTGAACTAAGCATTTGCTTATGAAAAGGCACCAAAATGAGGTCAGAATTAAGCCATTTTGGGAAAAGATATCCACGGTGCACCTTCCTGACAAAAACCAGTGTCTAAATATATGAAGAACTCAGTGAGTCGGCAGGAAAAGGAAAGCAGCCCCTGTTGGGAAGCAGGGCACCTTCCCGAGGAGAGAAAGTGAGGATGGACCCTGAGCACAGAGGATGCTGCCCTCGCAGCAGGCGGGGATGCCATGAGCCGGACGGGAATGACGTCGCCGTGTTCGGTGTGAGGGCTTCACTGCAGAGTGTGGCCCCACCGCCTCGTGCCCCGCCGTGCCGTGTGTGTTTCCTTCCTCCGCACTTTATGCCTAATGTGCAGCATTGTGATTTTTGCTCTAAACAATTTTCTTTTTAAAAGGTTAAGACGTGAGAGAAACGCCATTGATTTGGACCAGTTCACTGGCTGGTTTCAGTGCCCTCCGCCCTTTTGTGTGGATTCTGGTTTTTATCTGGCATCCTTCTCCCTCTGCCTGAAGAACGTTCTTTAACATTTATTTTAGCACAAGTCAGCTGCTCATGAATTTTCTCAGCTTTTGTTTATCTGAAAAATGTCTTTGTCCTCATTTTTGAAAGCTGTTTTGTTGTAAGTAGAATTCTAGCTTGTCAATTTTTTTTTCCTCTCACTACTTTAATGATATCGCCCCATTGTCTTCTGTATTGCATTGTTGCTGGTGAGAATCTCGTCATTGTTCTCTCTTAATTTTCTTGTATATAATGTGCCCTTTCCTCCACTGCTAGGTTTTGTCTTTATAGCTGGTTTGCAGCAACCTGATTATCTTGTACTTTACTTTGATGTGCTTTATGTTTATCTTGCTTGGGGCTGTTTGAGCTTTTGCAGTCTGTGGGTTTATCGTTTTAATCAAATTTGGGGAAAGTTTGTCTGTTATTTCTTTAAATGCTGTTTTTCTTTTCCTTCCCTTCTCTTTCGTTCTCAGGCTCCAGCTACCTGGCGTTACATTGCCTGGTTCTGCGGCCCTGAGCGCTCCTCATTGTTTCCAGCTCATTTTCCCTGTGTTTCGGTTTGGATTGCTTCTGTTGCTGTATTGTTAAGTTGCCGGGCTCTTTTCTGCTGCAGGTTTTGATCTTCTCTTAGGTCCATGCAGTCAGTTCTTTCATTTCTGACATTGTGTTTGTCAGCTCTTTCCAGAAGCCTCACGTGTGCTTTCCCTGTCCTCGCTTTTCCCTGTGTCTGTGCGTTCCTTTTGCTCTCTGGTCACAGTTGTAATGGCTATTCCCAGCTGCTTTCCACTCATTTCGTCATTTTTGTCTCCTCTGGGTCTGTTTCTGTTGACTGCTTCTTCCTATCAGCTCACTCCATTTTTGCCTCTTCCGGGTCTGTTTCTGTTGACTGCTTCTTCATAGGATGACGGGACACATTCACATGGTGTTGCTGCCTCTCATATCAAGTTATTTTCCATACAATGCCAGACATTGCGAATGTTACGTTGTTTAGTGTCTGAGCCCTGTTTTCTTCCTTTAAAGCATGTTGACGGTTGTGTTTGCCAACAGTTAAGCCGCCTGGGGATCAGTGGGAGTCTGTCAAGGCATTCTTTGCCTTGCCCTTCTCTACTGGTGCGGTTTTATTTTCTTCAGCGTGGAGCCCCCTTCTTCCTGACACGTGGACTGGCTGGATCACGGGGTGCTGGTCTCCTGTCTCCCCACTGTCTTGAATAAGCAAGTGTGGGTGGGGGGCTGATGTGCTGTCTCCATGGAGGGGCCGGACAGGTGGGGCCTCGTCCTCCCGTTCACGGGCTCCAGGGGTGTGCGGTGGCCTCCTATGCAGCCATGCTTTGCAGAGATGGTGGCGAGCTTGTCTCCTTAAGGCTTTCCTGATGATAAAATGTGACCAGTAGGATGAACGGTCAGGGACAATGGTGTGTCCAGAGGTCCTTTCCCTCCTGTGTGGTTGCAAGGCCGTGGTAACTCAACCACCATCCTCACGGCCACTTCTGGGAGGAGCAGAGGGGGACAGAACTGCCTTGGCCCTGGGGTGCATGTGCCCCAACCTGTGTGTGCTGGTGGCTATTGGGGGTCCAACTTCTCTCTTAAGACCAAGCGTGAGCTATCAGGAGACCCCCAGAGCTTGGAGTTGTGCTTCCCTGGCATGAGACCTTGGGTGTGTTCTCGACGTCTCCAGCCCTGGGAGGCCTCAGACCCCGGCATCTCACAGGCTGCGTGGAGACCGGAGCCTGCGGGAGCTTGAGCTCTGCACATGCTGAGAGCTGCACGTGAGGCCAGCTCCTGCGGTGGCTGCCGCCATTCTCTGCCCTCTGCCTGTCATGGGTGGACGGTCTCACGGTGATGTGCCCATGTGCTGGGGCCCCTGTTCACACCTTGTGGCATCTCGCGAGGTACAAGGCGTCTGGGGCCCCTGTTCACCTGTATCTCGCGAGTACAAAGCGTCTGTGGCTTTTCCTCAGAACTCACTTTCTTCCTTCCAGAGAGCATTGCTTCGGTGAAGTGCGATGAAAGAGCTGGGGCCCCTGTTCACACCTTGTGGCATCTCGCGAGGTACAAGGCGTCTGTGTGGCTTTTCCTCAGGAACTCACTTTCTTCCTTCCAGAGAACTATTGTCGAGTGATGCGATGAAAGAGTATAACAGGGCTCGAGTCTACCTGGACGAAAACTACAAATCCCAGGAGCACTTCACGGTGAGTCGCCTCCGCTGCCCGGCACAGGGGTCAAACCGGCTGGCCTTGGCGGAAGCCGGCCCTTCGCGTGTGTGAATGGAAAGGGGGTTGGGGTGCTCCCCGCCTGAAGCCTCACTCCCGCCGCCCTCCCTGGCGCTCCTGCAGCCTGCTTGGTGGTCTGCTCGGTGGTCTGAGCCCGTGGCTGGCCTGACAGGGAAGGTGGCCCAGTACGCACAGGGTCTTGGGGCTCCAGACCAAGCCCAAGCGGGAGTTGGGGAGTGACAACTGGGGAGAGGCCCAGGGCCTCAGTGTGTGTGAAAAAGAGGGAGTCCGAGGCTCCGGGTGTGTAGATGAGAGGTTGGACGGCAGCCGGGATCCGCTCCGAGAGCCACCATCGCCAGCCCTGCTCCCATGCTGGGGCATCCTGCCTCAGAGAGAGGCTGTTCCTCGGGGTGAGCACAGGGGGAGTGGGACAGAGCCTTCCACAGGGCTGCGAAAGACCGGTCCCTCCCCTGGTCCCTCCTCTGCGGTCCTCTGTCAGGTGGACACATGAGAGGGTGGTCCTGGTGGACGTGGCAGCCACAGAGACACAGGCACCAGGTGTCTGGGAAGGGACAGGAAGCCCCTCGGAGGAGGGGACACTCTACAGGTCATGAATAACTTGCTGTTGGTTCAAAGACCCACATCTTAAATCCCGTCTTTACGCCCTGGACCCTCTGGCCTGGGTGCATCTCCCCTGTCTCTGGGGAGGCCCTGGGTCCCCCTGGCCTGGGTCCATCTTCCCTGTCTCTGGGGAAGCCCTGGGTCCCCCTGGCCTGGGTGCATCTTCCCCATCTCTGGGGAGGCCCTGGGTCCCCCTGGCCTGGATCCATCTCCCCTGTCTCTGGGGAGGCCCTGGATCCCCTGGCCTGGGTCCATCTCCCCCTTCTCTGGGGAGGCCCTGGGTCCCCCTGGCCTGGGTGCATCTCCCCTGTCTCTGGGGAAGCCCTGGGTCCCCCTGGCCTGAGTCCATCTTCCCTGTCTCTGGGGAGGCCCTGCATCCTTCTCCCCCATCTCTGGCCTGTCCCAGCATCAGCGCCCACCAGCCATCATCCCACCGTTGCATGACAGACCCTTGTTAACCTGCCCTCTCCCTGGCAGGTGCCCCTGTAGGCAGCAGTGCTGAGGGTCTCGCTCTCCAGTGTTCCCCTGCCCTGCAGGGGGGACTCTCATTACTCTTTGGGTTCAAGGGCCATCTCACTCGTTTGGGCATCTAGTGCCAGTTAATCGATGTCCTTGTCCCTGAGATGGTCACACAGCTGCCATGCGTGGTCCCCAGCCGTAGTGGAGTCTGCACAATCCCAGGAATCCCCTGCTCGGTCTCCGCCCCTCCCGCCATCCAGCAGCTGCCCACACACAAGTGGCCTCTCCTCATGTTCCGTGGGGCACATGGGGGCCGCAGGGCCCCTCACACCAGGCCAGGGCCTCATCCCTGTGCTCAGGATGTCGCTCCTCCTGTCAGCCTTCCTTCCTCTCCCACCTTGGTCCCTCCTCCCGACCAGCTTCTTCCTCTCAGCTCTGCCATCCTTTCCATAAAACGGCAGCTTCCTTGACCCTCTCACTCTCCTCTGCCGTGACCCAGCATCCTGTGTTTCCCAAGTGGGGGCTTATTCAGATGGAAAAGAAAAGTACCACTGGGTGAGCAGCAGATTAGACATTGCAGAAGAAAAGAGAAGGTGACTGAACTTGAAGACAGCCACAAAAATTACAGTGAAACAGAGAAGGACTGAAAAGTGCATAGAAATCACGGTGAAATACCAGGTGTCCTAACACGTGTGACTGCAGCCCCAGGAGGAGTGGGAAGAGGAGGCAGACAGGGCGATGCTTGCAGATGTCATGGCTCAGATTTCTTCACCATTCCATGAAACTTACAGAAAGATCCAAATACTGCAACAAGCTTCAAGCCAAATAAACATACCAATGCATGCCAAGGTCAGATTGCTGAAAGCAAATTACATGAAGGCCCTTTGCCACCCGTCATCCTCAGAAGAGTAGGGCTCTGCTCCCTACCTGTGTGTGCCGCCGTGCCGTGGGAGCCTCATCTGTGCCAGTCACCAGCCACCTCTTCCTCAGGTGGACCGTCGCTCAGCTCTTCCCAGCTTCCTTTAAATAAAAAGACACATGTATTTTAAAAGTGAAGGGACGGAAGAAGATGTACCTTGCAGCAGTCGTTAGAAGAAAGTAGGAGTAGCTGTCTCCATATCACAGTGACCTCAGAACGAGAGTGTTGTCAGGGCTGAGAGGGGTCATTTCACGATGATAAGGGGTCAACTTTTCGAGAGGATATAGTGGTTGTGAATGTGTCCCCCTAATATCAGAGCTCACTTAAACACGAAACCGATAGGGCGGATGGAGACAGACAGGAGGCTCTGCACCGCAGGAGGACCCCACAGTCCCCTCTTGCTGACTGACGTGCAGGTGGGCGGAGGAGCAGTGCCCGGAACCTGCGCCCTTGGTGTCTGAGGCTCTCCAGCCAGAGCAGCGGTGGACACAGCCACAGACAGAAGGCACCCGCGTGCTGGGCCCTGGCCAGAGCAGGCCTCTCGGTCTGTCCGAGCCTGGCTGGGATACCTGAGAACGAGGCACACATGGGCTGGATGGAGGGTCAGCTGTCATGCTGTGGTTCTGTTTCCACCAAAAACATCTTTCCACAGCAAGGCGAAAGCCTCAGCAAAACCTTTAGGCCCCTGAGGGCCGTGACTGCCGTCCACACCTGCCTTGCCGTCCACGCCTGCCTTTCAGGGTTTTCCAGGTGGGTCCGGAGTGGCCTGTGCTTGAGGGCTCAGGTCCACCCGAGACTGCCTGGTGTGCGTAACTGGGCATCTGCACCTGGCTGCTGGGCACAGGCCATGCCAGCCCCGTATGAGCTCTGGGGTTGTTCTCCCTTCTTTCCAGGGGTCCTCCCTGGCCCTGGGTGGTTCCAGCAGAACAGTCGCCAGGGCGCACGTCTGGTTCTCGAAAGAACTTGCCCCTGCCTCTAGGAGACAGAAATGATATAAACACATTCTCTCACCAAAAAGAATTAAATTAGAAGTAAATAAAAAAGATTTACAGAAAAGTCTCAAATATTTGGAAATTAACTTATTAATTACTAACCCCAAGTCAAACAGAATGTCACCAAAGAAATGAGAAAATATTTTAAATTATGTGAAAAGCTAGAACCTTCAAAATCTGTGAGATGCCAAAATAGTCTGCACCCACTGCAGATCCTGCAGCAGCCTTCGGTGAGGGGAGCACGGCCCCGCCTGTCAAAGGAAAGGTGCCTCTCGGGGGAGGAAGCACAGGGGCTGGGCTGGGCACCCCCCACAAGAAGCTGCTGCGCACTTGGTGCCTCAGAGTGCCCGACAGTGGTGCGGCCGGCGTGCACATGCTCCCCAGTTGGGTCTCTGAGATGTCTGACTCCAGGATGCAGGGTGCCAGGGCGGCCGAACAGGCCCCCCAGAGGCAGCCGTGCCGGGCGTGAGGCCCCGAGGCTGTTCCTCCGGTTACCCTCACGACGGGGGTTTCTAGAAAATGGGACAGGATAAGGCTTGGGAGCGGGAGTGGGTCTCAGGCCTGCTCTTGGGGAACTGGGGGCCTGGCAGGAGCTCCCATGCCTGTGCCGCCGCCCTTCAGCTCAGTGGGCTCCAGCCCCGGCTTCCCTTTCTGGGCACAGCCCTGGTCTCTCCCACAGCCACGGCCCTGAGTGAGGCTTTAGGCCAGGTGGATGGTAGAGGGCAGCCTTGCCTGGCAGTGGGGAGGGTCCGGGATGCCCCAGACACCCAGTTGGGAGCTCACGCCAAGCTGGCACCAGGTGGGCCTGTCATCCCTGTCTTGTCACTGAGACTGGGCCGGTGGGTCCCGGAATGCTGCCCCCAGGCCACCACTGGCCGCCTCGGTGGCCTGGTCTTTGCTGGGGGCCCTTGGGGTGTCTGGGTGGCAGGTCCCGACTTCCCCGGGGTCCTGGGCAGAGCTGGACAGCAGCGGCCAGCCAGCCAATCACCCTCCTGCCCCAGCCAGGTGCCCTCCGGCTGTCAGAGGGAGGAAAATTTAATTTTTACAAGATTGATGGTATTGGAGCAATATTTTTAGCTGAGTCTGGTTCAAATAATAGGCCATTAATTGAAAAAGGAAATTGAAATGAATTTATCTTGTACATAAATGCTGTCATGGGTATTAATAGGGATCAGAAAATAGTGGCCGGTTCCCAGAAGGCAGTTGAACCTGAAGCTGCGCCGGGCGCGTGAGCCTGTTGGGTGGGGGACGCGGCTGAGGGGCTTCGAGCGACCTGCGGTGCCCATTGCCACCAGGAGATGGCGCCCACGCAGCGCCTGAGAGTTTCCTGCCAGTGATGATCAGAAGGCAACTTTTATGCTTAAAAAATGACGATATTGGCCGGGCGCGGTGGCTCAAGCCTGTAATCCCAGCACTTTGGGAGGCCGAGACGGGCGGATCACGAGGTCAAGAGATCGAGACCATCCTGGTTAACACGGTGAAACCCCGTCTCTACTAAAAAATACAAAAAAAAAAAAAAACTAGCCGGGCGAGGTGGCGGGCACCTGTAGTCCCAGCTACTCGGGAGGCTGAGGCCGGAGAATGGCGTGAACCCGGGAGGCGGAGCTTGCAGTGAGCTGAGATCCGGCCACTGCACTCCAGCCTGGGCGACAGAGCTACACTCCGCCTCAAAAAAAAAAAAAAAAATGACGATATTAGGCCGGGCACAGTGGCCGATGCTGGTAATCCCAGCACTTTGGGAGGCTGAGGCTGGGATGGCCTGCACCGACCCCGCCAGGCGAGGTGGACCTGGCTCAGGGCGGAGGGCCTGAGGAGGTGCCCAGGATGATCCCTGGACTCTGCACCCACATGGAGTATGGCAAAGTGATGAGAGCCAGGCTGGAAGACACCTGAGTGCCAGGTGGTCCATGTGCCTCATCCCTGAAGCGCCTTCGTCAGAGCCCCTGCTTCTGGGTTCAGCCTGGTGTCCTTACCCCTGGGAACGTGTC